CCCCCCCCCCTCCCTGCCTGGCTGACATCCTCCCCCTGCACGCTGTGTGCGCATCTACCCACCACGGGCGTCCATGTGCGCCAGATCAAGCGCCAAATCCACAATGACCTGGCCCGGTTGTACACCTTCTCGGCATTGGCGGTCATGACCTCCCAGCGACCGGGCGCCTGTCGCCCGCTGACGGTGTCGAGCTTGGCCCGCACTCCGCAAGACCTCGAGGCCCAGTGGGATTCCTTCGCCGAGGCCGAACTCGGCGGTACCCTGGAAACCGAGGCGTCCCTGCTGCGCTTGGCCTGCCGGTCGCCGGATTCGGCACACATTTGGCCGGTCATCCCGGGCCCGGGGCCCGATGCCCATGGGAATGGCCCCCGGCCGGGGTCGGGCTCCAATGTCCGGTCATTCCTCCGGCTGCTGCTGACCATTGCCGCCGGGACGAGCGAAGGCATGGGCCTGGACACGGCGCATGCCTTGCGGGCTGAGGCCGCCGCCGCGCCCGATGCCGCGGCCACAACCACCACCACCACCACCACCGGGGCCTTCATCTCGGACCAGGAGCTCGCCGGGCAGAGCCTGCACTTTGAGCAGTTCCTGTCGCAGGTGGTTTTGCAACTGGCGCATCTGGGCGGCAGCGGCACGGCCGGCGATGGGGCCCAGTCTCCAAGCGACCCGGCAGGTGGCTCCGCCTCCCCCCCGGCCGGTGCTGCCAATGGCGGCGGGCCGCCACTGATGATGGACCTCCTATCGCGGCGGCGCTTGCGCTTGGCCTTCTTCCTGCGCTCCGGCCAATGCCCGCTGGACTTGACCCCGCAGCATTTGACCGCCGGTCGGCCTTTCCCCTGGCAGCCGGCCGCCTTCGATGCCGGGGACCTTTGGGATGCCTTCTACCCGATTGCCGGGCGTTTGGCCACCGTGCATGCTCCCGGCCCGGAGGATGCCCTCTGGCAGCGGCTGCTGGCGCTTCATCCGCTTCTGGGACCCGGCGTGCCGGGCCCAAGCCCCGGCCAAGACCCGGCCAGTGCGGCCTCCTCGCCGGGCCCCCTTCCGACCCATGCGTCCATTTGCTTCCGGTGGGAGCTGGCCCTGTTGGCCATTCAGTCACAGCAACTGCTGGTCGCATCGCGCATTCTCCTGGCCAGTGCCACATCAGTGCCGCTGAGCGCCTCGCGCCGACGGGACTGCCTGGCCCTGCTGCGCTTCCTGGCTCTCGCCCGAGGCCCGGCCCCTGGCTCCGGGACCGCGGCGCCGGACGTGGCGACCTCCGCCGCGGCCGCCTCCGCCTCCTCCTCGGCCCTGCAACTGCCGCTGGCCGTGGCAGTCCCGCACTCGGGGGCCGGCGACACCAGCCAGCTGGTCACCATTTCCAGCTGCTGGATCCTGGCCGTGGTCAATGCCCTGGCACCGCAGATGGACTCCAAGCCCGGCTCGACCGAGCTCCTGCGCGACCTGTTCCTCCACTCGTCCCTCTCCGGGACATCGCTCTGCCCCTCGACCGCCGGCATCATCATCGGCGTCCTGTCACACTATAGCATCCAGTTCATGGGGCCCGGTGAGCCGGAGCCCAACAGCGATGATCCCGACCATGTTGCCAAGGCCGGCCTGAGCCTGGCCTTCACAAATTACCTCCAGCGCTGCCTGGCCGAGCTGAGCAGCAGCGCACGCAGTGCCCGGCTCACGCGGAACCTGTCGCGCGCCCACCTTCAGAACTTGTCCCTTCGGCACAAGGCCGAACGGGCCACCCGCGGTGTGGTCATCCATGAGGAAAGGTGCGCCCCCCCCCCCCCCCCCCCCCCCCCCCCCCCCCCCCCCCCCCCCCCCCCCCCCCCCCCCCCCCCCCTCCGTGCCTGGCATTGGATCATGCGAAGGGGGTGGTCCACCTCCCTCCCCGTATCATGCTCTGCCATACCTCCCGTGTTTGATTTCCCTCCGCTCCTCATCTGGTGGCTTCTTTTTTTTTCGCCCTCGCCCTTTGCCCCGAGCCCCGTCCCCCTGTCCGTATGTGCTGACCTGCCGCTTGGCCGTGGCTCCCGCTCCCCGTGCTCCTGTTGGTGTCTCTCTTTTTTTTTATGGATGTCCCTCTCTCTGTAGCACGTGCTGCCTGTGCGGCAAGCAACTGATTCAGGAGCCATCCGGCCTGTCAGCCGCCGCCGCCGCCTCGCATGACGCTCATTCCGGGGGCTTCGTGATGATCCCGCTCTTTAGCACGGCCAGCGACTACGATTTGGCCGGGGACCTGTCGCCCCGAGATGGCCAGGCCATGGCCGTCTACCTGGCTCAAGGAATGTCCGCCTCGTTTGCGCGTCCGCCGCCGGCCGGCGTTGAGCGCCTACCGCCTGAGCCCACAGGTGTCGGCACGGCCCATGTCCAGTGTGCCAACCTGGCCGGTCTATTTTGATGGTGGCAGCGCCGCACCGGTTTCTGCCCTTTCCCCCGTCCCCCTCCGGGCCACCTTTCATCCTTGTCTCGCGAAGCTGAAGCATCATCAGCACAATAGACCCCTCCCCGAGTTGCCTTCTCATGGCATTTGCCTGTCCTGCGGCACGTTTGACCATTCCTCTGTCCGAATTCACACACACACACACACACACACACAAGGCATGGACACAAGAGCATCCCTGGTCCGGATCAATCTAGGGGGAATGTATTGTGCTCGGCCACGGCGTCCATCAGGTGGGAAGGGGAATGGCAGCGGCGCCGGAGCAGTCTCGAACCGGAAGAAAGAGGCTTGAATGTTTGAAGGGAAGACACAAGGACAAGGAGGGAGGGAGGAAGAGAGAGAGAGAGAGGGGGGGGGAGGCGGGAGAGGAGGAAGGGGGCAGATCAGAGTGAGTGCACCAGAAAGCATGGATGCACACACACACACACACACATACACATACACACGCTCCCGCCACCCAGCGCTCACATGCACCACAGAGGCCCAGTGCCACGGAGCAAGAAAATATGCAGACTCTCGGAGGAAGGAGAGAGAGAGAGAGAGAGAGAAAGGGAGGGCGCAACGCAGGCCAACACATCGCCGAAGCCGTGCCGCCTTCTTCCTCATCATCAGGTCGGCGGCCCAGTGCCCGGGGTGGAGCTGAAATCAAAGAACCCGCCAGCCAGCGGGGTGTTGGGGCGCATGATCCCCGGGGAGGAAGGATGCGAATAGAAGCCCGGCGTGCCTGGCGGGCCGCCGGTGCTGATGGAGAGGAACCCCCCGGCCTCCTGCGACCGGAGATCCACGACACTGCTGTCATTCAACTGCAAGTCGGAGGAGAAGTCGATGATCACGGCCGATGAGGAAGACGCGTCGGCCGGTGTGATGGTGATCGGCGGAGGGGGCAAGCCGGTGGCCACGGCAAAGGTTTCAGCCGCCGAGGGTGGCCGCGGGCGCTCCGGCTCCTCGTCCCCATCAAACTCGACGTCCGTGAGAGAGCCATCCTCGCTGTCGCTGAAGTCGAAGGCGGTGGTGGCCCCACGCGTCGGGTCAATGTCGCTGTCATCGTCATCGTCATCGTCATCCTCGTCGTCATCGTCATCAAAGGATGAGGAGAAGGAATCATGGCCGCGGGCAGGCCCGCCATCGGACTTGCCGCCCTTGGCCCCGAGACCGGCGGCCGACACCGAAGCGCCTGACAGGTCCCCGGAGCCGGGGGACGGCAGCGAGCCGGACGGCGAGGCGGCCAGGGCGCCGGTCGCCCCGCCGGCAATCGCCTCATCGGCCTTGGCAGCGGCACGACGTTGCTGCGACCGCTTGCGCCGACGCTTCCGACGCTTCTTGGACTCGCTCTTCCGCCGGAGAGTTTGGAGCCGGTAGGACTCCCCGGCGCCCGAACCACCAGGTCCAGCCTGGCCATCCTCCAGCTCCAGCTCATCCTCATTGTCTTCGTAGTCGGCCACCAGCCGCGAATACCGGATGGAGGCCATGACAATGCCGGCGATGAAAACACCACCAGACACGGCAAACAGGATTTGCGACAGCCACAGACCATCCAGAGCTCCAAGGGTCACGGCACAGAAGAGGTTCCGCGCGGCCAGGGAGTCCTGGCCAATCCACCGGCATTCGGCCAGGTGCTGCAAGGAAACCCCGGCATCGGTGGCCAGCTGGGTGAAGGTCGTCGCCAAGACCGGCGCCTGGACCGTGACAAACCCCGGCAGGGTGGTCGCCGCGAAGTGGTCTGCCTGTGCGCGCACGGCGGCCGCCTGCGGCCCGGCCATCCGCGTGGCATCCAGCAGCCCCGTAAGGCCGACATCCAAGATCTCCGACTGGTCCTCCACCAGGGAGAAGGCCGGCCGAGGATCACTGTTCGGACCAAGGACGTCGGCTTCGAAGCGCATGGTCAGGGCGTCCGCTCGCTGGAGCAGGCTCTCCAGCTCGATCTGAGCCGCGGCCCCGGCATCCGGGGTGGAGTCGGCCAGAATGACACATCGGTCAAAGGTGCCGCTGCCAGGCCCGGCCTGCAGCAATCCCAGGAGGGTCCGCGAAGCGGCCAGTTGATCGCGGAGTCGGTGCACCTGCCCGCGGTACCGGCCCACCACCGCCTCGCGCCGGGCCAGCGGCGACTGAGAGGTCTCCGTCGACTGAAGAGCATCCAACACCGGGCCGGCGGAAGTCTCCAGCCGGCTCAGGGCCAGGGTGGTGGCCGACAGGTCGACATACCGCTGGACATCCGGGCCGAAGGTGTCCACCGTTGCCAGGGTGGCGCCAAGGGGCGCGGAGAAATCGGCCAGATGCTCCAGGCTCAAGGCCCGCAGGAGGGTCGCATCCCCGGGCTGCCGGCAGGACTCGAATGTGTGCACCAGCTCGGTGAAGGTGTCAGGATTGATGCCGACCTGGTGACATTGGCCATTTGGTCCATCGAAGGGGGAGGGAGGGAGAGGGAGAGGGAAAGTCAGGCCAGGGCCCACTGTTGGGGCAGGGGAGATAGAGCGAGCCGAGGACAGGCAACCATGGGAGAGATGGAGGGCAGGAGGGGGGGGGGGGGACATGACGTACGACATCGCTGAAAATGGGGGAGATCTCGCCCGAGTCGACAACATCGCACGCCTCAGACGCGCCGAGGGCCAGGACGAAATGCAGCCCGAAGGCGGCCCAGGTGAAAGCCGCGAAGATGAAGGACAGAATAACTGCCACCTTGGATGCCAGGGTGAAGCGCAGGGAGATCGTCGCCAGGACCAGGAGGATCAACACACAGGGAACAATGAAGACAGCAAGGACAATGCTCGATCTGGGACGGGAAGGAGGCGCATGGCCCCAGAGCCGGAGGGAGGGGGCGGGATGGGGTGGGGGATTGGGAGAGGGGGGACGGCGTAAGGAAAACATCCGGCATGTTAGAGAGGGAGGAAGGAGACAAGGGCAAGTTGCATATGAAAAAGGAGGGACATCGAAAAATATGCACGTGTGTGTGTATGTGAAAAAGCAAACAACAGCGCGCACCTGTATGGCTCATACGGATCGATGTACGTGTCCTTGGCCTGCATAAGGAGGTCGGTGGTGGAATGGATTGTGTTCGCTGTCGGAAGGGCCGCATTCAGGTGGAAGGTCTGATAGGACCCGGCCATTTCCTCCTGCATGCTGGTGACGCTGTCTCGGACGACTGCCCGAGGAGGAAGAAGAGGGCGAGGGGGGGGGGGGGGGGGAGAGACAGAGCGGCGAAACATGCGCCCGAATCCTGTCAGACACAGAGCAGAACCGGGCCAGGCAGCCCGGGGGAAAGGGGGAAGAGGCGGGAAGGGGCAAGAGAGCGAGGCAGGGCAGCATAAGACGACATACGGTCACCGTAAGATTGAATGCGGCCGGCGAAATCCCCGAGATTGCTGTCTATCGCGGAGGTCAAATCACTCGAGGCCTCCTCGATGTTGTTGTTGCCAATGGCATCAATCAGGATATCCTCGATTTCGTCGGACCCCGCGAAAACAGCCTCCTCGGTGGAGAGTGCCGTGCCGGAGACCCCGAGCAAGTCGCAGGCGGCATCTCCGCCACGCAGAGCCCATGGGCGCCCGGGCCCGGGAGCCCGATAGGCATCAACCAGAGCAGCGTTCAAACGCTGAACATCGTCCAGCTGGGCCGCATCATCGAGGAACCGATTGAAGACATCCTGAAAGTCGTTGGCGGCGTTGTCCTGCGTGGGAAAGAGAAAGAGAGAGAGAGAAATAAAGAAGGAGATGGGGGAGGGAGGAGACAGGGAAGGGGTGCGATTGGTTCCCCGGTGAGAATGCATGTAAGTAGACTGTGAAGGGGACAGGGAGAAGAGAACGAGCAGGGGGGCGTGCGTGTGTGTGTGTGTGTGTGTGTGTGTTTGGGAGGGGGGGGAAGGGGACAGGACGAGAAAACGCACGAAGTTGGCGGCCTGATCGATGACCTGGTCAGCTTGGGCATCGAAGTTGGCCGTTGCGGCGGCCACCTCGCGCGATTGGATCCACAGAAGACCCTCCTGCCCGGCAAACGTCTCGATCGGGTCATAGGCCACGGTGAAGGCGCTGCTGGCCAGCTGGCCGAAGCTGATCGGAGTATGCTCGACCGTTGCATTGAGCACTGGCAGGTAGGCATCCAGATGGTCATACACACCGGCCGACAGGTGCAGCGAGGAGCCCATGGCCTCGGCAGTGAAGGTGTTGGAGGCGATGCCGAGCCCCGCAAAGACCGCGATCAGACCGGACCCAATGGCCAGGATGACTAGCGAGAAGATCCGGTCCGACCGGGAGTAGGGCTTCTGCGCGCGGTCGGCTCCGCCGCAGCAGGCCAACGACCGACAGGGGAAGAAGACAATGGCCAGGATCAGGAAGAAGAGCGCCAGCAGCGCGGCGATGGAGAGAATAATCAGGAGGACCTGACAACGGGGAAGCCGCCGAAGGGTGGGAGAGAACCGTGAGTGGGAGAGGCAGAAGCAGAGCGAAGCAAAGAGAAGCAGAGGGGGGGAAAGCCAAAGGGGAGGGGTGGGGGGGGGGCGGGGAGCGAAAACAGAACGGAGAGGAGAAAGTCCAGCCAGCATCATGGACCAGTGTGCGAGATGTCTGCATACGCACGACGTTGTCTGCGGCAAACTCGCCAATTGTGAAGAGAGGTGCTCCGGGATCCTGGCTGCTGTCGGCCGTGGGGGCGGCGGCGGCGGCGGCGGCGGACACCGGGAAAAGCGGCTCATAATAAGATGGCACAACGAAGGTGTTGTCCGGGATGCGCAAGCGCGTGGGTGACCGGAGGATGGCCGCCAGCCAGACCCATGGCCGAAGGCCGGCCGACAGGGACGTTCGATCACCAAGGGCCAAGATTGACTCGTCATAGTCGGACGTGGGAACCAGCGGTGCCTTCAGGAAGGGGCTATCGGAGGAGTCCCCACGGCCGATGCCGGTGGCTGGAAACCGCGGAGAAACGAGACACAGGAGGCAAGGCAAGCGGCGTGCGCGCGTGCGTGCGAGAAGTGCGAGAGGTGCGAAGAGGGGAGGAGGGAGGAACGGCACGCGGGGGGGGGTTGGGGGGGAGGGTGCGCAGTCAGTGGCATGGGAAGGGAGATGCGCTCCGGGGAGGATCAAGGATGACTGGCTGGCAGTCGGGCAAAACGGCAGCAGCACAACGGAGAGGCGTACAGGAGGCAAATGCCGAGCCGACCATCAGCAAAAGAGCCAGCATGGAGAAGAGCAGGAGCAGTAGACGGCGCCCGGCCCGGGCGGCGCTTCGCCCGGGGTCCGGAGGGAAATGCATGGCAGGGAAGGCGCAGACAGGGCCATGCGGCGGGAGAGAAAAAAAAAGGCAGACAGTAGCAGGGGGAGGAGGGGCAAAGACGGCAGGGGCGTGGAGATCTAGCACAGGCGGCCCCGCAGGAGAAGAGGGGAGGCTGGGAAAGGGGAGGGGGAAGAGAAAGAGGGGAGGGAGAGAACGCCAGGGGCGGGGGAGGTGGAGATGCTTGGCCACCGGGGCTCGGGGGGGGGCGGGTCGGGGGTGGCCGAAAAAAGCCCGGCCACGGAGCCTCCCCAGACCGAGGACAGGCGATTGGTAGGATGGCGACCGAACGGAGGGGTGGGCGCCCGGAGAGAAAGGCATCACGGCGCGGATCCCGCCGGGGCCCGCACACGCGCCCCCCCCCCCCCCCCCCCCCCCCCCCCCCCCCCGGGGCGGCCTTCCTCGAGGTGACCCCACCGGTGGCGGCCAGCGCGGCCCCCGGCCGGCGCGCCCCCGGGTCGACCAGTTGCTCCTTCGCCCCAGCCCCTTGGAGGTGGTGTGATGGCAAATTCCGGGGGAACGGCGAGGGGGAGGGGGGGGGGCGGGACGACAATCGACACTGAGGCCGGGGGATGAAAAAGAAGCAACCCCGGCCCAGCCCCGCCACACCACAAACTGGGCGGGTGGCGATCACCGGCCCGGGCCACTGCGGGCTTCGTTCTTATCTGCCCCTGCACGGAGCGCGCCCGGCTCCGGCTGTCCGTTCTCTCCCCGGGCTGTGA